TTTTATCGAAGCAGTAGTGACTACCTCCAGCGACCAATTACCCCCGATGGGAATTCCCCCAACATACTAAGTGTTTTGACTAACATACTTGTCGCATCACTTATTGTAGAACGTACCCTGATTCCCTTATACAACTCCCATTCCTGATTGCCATGTCCACCATATCGCCGCTCGATGTGCTTATGTTTAAAGAGGGATTGCAAAATTGCGGCAGCGTCCACCAGCGACCACCGCGTCCAACACTAGACAATATGAGGAAGTAGGAGGGTAGCAGACAGCTGGCTCAGGCGTCGTGAAGTTGCAGCGAGTGCAAGTACACCACCCACATTAAACTGCATAATTCTGTGCTATAGCACTTTCAGAACATGCGCAATTTCATGACGCCTAATCCGGCTGTCTGCTCCCACGTACCCCATACCCTACCAGCATTCTGCTACCTTCCTATTTCTCCATATTCTCTAATCCTGGACGCTGATAAAAGCTACCATTCGCGAAATCGAGACCTATATTCTCCTAATTGCTGACGTGGACGGACGCTCGCGCTAGTGGACGGTGCTGGACGCTTATGGACGCTGCCGCAAAGCATGAACGCAGCCCAACGCGCATCGACGCGCTACACCAATAGCGCTCAATACTATAGACGCGAACGCGGCCGCAGACGGTAATCGACCAACGGTGTTTTGAGGGAGTGTAGGATAACGGGAGAAGGGAGAACAAGCGTTGCCTTTACACAATCTGGTAGTTTCCCTCTCTTCTATACTATCCCAGGGTCCTAGCGGCCAGTGTCGACCGATACCCTCTTCTCCGTACTCTCTCGGTACAGAAGCGGCCGACTCCAATTGACTCAGCGGCTGCGTACGCGTCCATAGCACTGAAGTACGTTGCAGTTGTAGCGCGTCCCTGCGCGCTACAGCGCATTATCATGAGTCTGAGTGCTGCTTTCCACTTGGAGAACTAATATTTCCGCTCTTATCAAGCCATTTACAGGATGCGAGTACTGGTTAGTGGTGCAGCGGAATTCATCACCTCTGACAACGCGAATTCTTTCCCAAAATGCAGCGCTTCGATCCGAGATGGAGTAAACCCTAAACCAAACGAACCCGAATAACTATGGCTATTATCTGTACAGTTGAACTTTCCTGTGATAGCTTTCCAGAAATGCCTTATTTATTATGAAAGATTGTGCTGGAAAGTCCACATGCAAGTCTCTTCTAACAATCACCCGATGACTTTCAAGCAGTGAATTATCGTCACCATTCAAATAGTAAATCAATTACGAAAATCAGGAAATGAGATTATTATTAAGGATTTGAGACAAAAACAACTGTGATATCAGAAAGAATTACGTCTAATAAAATTAAAATACCAACAATGACGTTTTACGCACGTTTTCACAAACAAGTGATGAATTGAATCAATGACACATATAAAGACTAGCTTAGCAAGTAAAAAACAAGGTAGATGAAATAAAAAAACAAGAATTTAGGTAAAGGGGAGAGTTACCAAGAAATCATTTCGAGCATTGAAAAACAACAACAAGACACTAAAAAAGCAGACGAGAGCCTCTCCACGCATGCTACCTTGATCCTGAAACTATTACTGGGCAAACCTCCTTCATCTCTATCGCAGTAACCTGCTCAGACGCCTACTCCTGCTTGATCTTGAGGCGTTTCTCCTTCGCATTCAGATCACGCAGCCTTTTTCGTCGGACCCTTCCTTCGCATCCAGATGCAGGCTTTTTTTTCGGGGGAGGCAACTTTTTTCATCAATGAGTGTCCAGGTTCCTCCTTTTTCGGACTGCGTGGTGGAGTCCGTTCACTGGATAAAGAAATACAGCCTTGAAAGGCACAGTTCGCGACCGCGAATTGCGGGAAACGGAACTCAAATAGGCACAAAAAAAAGTGCTGAGTATCTGATTAGCGGAGAAAAGCAGCAGAAAAAGCAGTCCGAAATGTTATAGAGAAAGATAACATAGTGGCTACTAGCTAGTAGCTAGCAGCCGGTGAGGGTCGGCATGGGCCTAAGGGGTGTCCATGGGCCTAATTAGTCAGCTTCTAGCGGAGTTCTTGCCGTTTTTCACATTTTGAAAGTAGCGCAGCCTCAAAAATCGCCTTCCGGATCGTCCGACACATTTGAGAGGTCATAGCCTTATTTTATCGCGGAATGTGCCTTTAACGTGGCGATGTATGTCCTATCGACATTGTACAATGAAATCAGGACGCAGTTCCTTTTAGGGGGGAGGGGAGTGCGATGGGCATTTTGAGGCATTTTACACGTTCGCTGATTCCCTTTGGTAAATCAAAGGGAATTAGTGAAGGTCAGCTAACAGGTCTGACAAAGACCTGTAGACTCTTCTGAAGCTGCGATGGGTACAAGTGAGCCACGATATTTACAGGAATTCACAGATTTTCACAAGGTGACTTACATAGTCGCTGAGTACAGCGTGGTGCCCCCACCAAGCCGAACTGTGATGAAATTAGCATAGATATTCCCACTTCCTCCGTACATTCTGAGTGCCATAGATATTTGAAACTAACTTAAACTAACAAAACTGGAAATTCTATACATACTCCAGAGCCCTCTGACACCTCCAAACTTCAGCGGTATATTTCGGGGTCTAGAGTGGCACATCAATGAGAATGAGAGACACAGTAGTTGTCCGACTCCGCCCCTACGATCAACGCGGACTGCCTTCTTGATTTAGATCGTTTTGCGTGCTAATTCCAGTGGTTTACTAACAACAATTGTCTGTTGTAAAAGTGGTTCTCAATGCATGTTCCATAGAAAGGGGAAGGGGGGGGGGAACAGGGGTATTCAAAGAAACTCAGAAATTTAGAAAATAGTAGTTCACGCTGATACAGTGGGTGGACACAGTTGACCACTGGGCCTTTCTCACCGGCGCACTCCTCTTGTTTGCCGTTTTTAAGACGGGCGTGTGCAGAATAGGAAGACTCAACAGGCGACCACCTCCGCCCACAGAATCGTCGTGAACTTCAGGGGATTACAGGGAAAGCAAGCAGAGTCAAAGGAAAATTTCTTAGAAAGCAGGTTGATTCGAATTTCATCGAGAAATACGTAGGAACTTACCAAGGATCTGCTGATGCCTTTTTTAATGAGAAGGGAGAAGTAGTTGGAAACTCACCGAATTCCTAGCTCTCGTCGTAACACTTTCCGTATTTCCTGTTCTTTGCCTTTATGACCATCAAGAATTTTTGCCACCTCGCTGCCCATACGTGTTCCAACCGCCTTGTGACGTTTTATCAGTACACTGCAAGAACGGTACTATACAAAAATCCCATAACTTGCTGCACTGAAAAGCCGTTATATACCTAGCTGCTGCTTTGGCTCTTTTATATGCTTATCTCCGAGCTCCTTACAACGCACTTTCTCGAGCTCCTTCAACCACTTCCACTACTGGACCACGGTAAGCCTTTGCGACAGCTTCACTTCTACCGTACATAACCGGGACTTTTATGTCTTCTGATTCTTTCTTGGCTAAAAAAAACAAATGGAGCGCATTTGCTAAGTTTTTTCAAAGCACTCTGAACTAACCTTCATCCGACATTGAGCAGTTGCTAAGCGATTCGAAGAATTTGTCCAAAATCTTCACTAAACACTTGGACGACGCATCTGGATTTTTCACTTCATCAAGCTTGATAATTATTGTAGCCATAGAATGATCAGATGGACAGTAGTCAAGCACTTTGTATAGAGTGATCACCTTAGAACACTAACATCGGTAACCGCCGTTATTATAGAGTCTGAATCCATGCCGCTGATCGCGCGCAGACTCCATACCCCGGAGATGGATAGGGCGTGGGTGCACACTCCGAATTCGCCTCGTGGCAGCAGCTGCTTGGAGTGGTATTGTGAAACTGGGACAATTTTAATCACGTCTTTCTCGAGCACAAGGCAGAATGACAGTTGTCTCCAGCGAAAATATCCCACAAGAAAAAAAACGCATCCTACCCCGAATTCAAATTAAGTCCGCAGCCACGCCCTCCTCATCTTTCGGATATGGAGTGCACATAAATGGATAGCAAGCGAGTAACACCTCCGATATAGAAAGTGAGTAAACCTACGACAAAA